GCAATAAGCAACCGCAAATAAAAACACAATTAATATTTTCATAATTATATTAATTAAAAATCGAATTTTAATTAAGCATTTCACAATTGAAATTCAAGCAAATTTATATGGAATAATTTAATTAAAAAAAGTCAATCTGCCATTTAATTTTTTATTTAACATATTAGTATATTAAAAATGTATTTCTAATTTGTATTGATTTTAATACAATTATCAGTTTATTTAATATTGTTTCATCAAATCAAATTTAGATGTTTATAAAATACAAGATCCTTGTACGTTATTATATGTTTTTGTCTCATTAATATACAATAAATAGAAAAATAAATTATTAAAACTGATCCTTTTCAAAAAGCTTTAAGTATTTGTAATTTAGAAAAATTAATCTTCAATCTATTAATAAAAGAATCATATATTAAAATTAATTAGATAATCATTAAAACAAAAAATGTTCAAAAAATTATATTATTTTACTATTTTTGGAATACTAAGGACATTATAAACTATATAGAAAATTAAAAACCTGAAAAGAACTTAATAAAAAAGCATAACTTATATAACTTGAACATAATAAACAAATTCTAAAAACCAGAAAATAAATTATGCTTATTAGTAACTATAAGTTGATAATTAAAGTGATGTAATTCTGAAAAAAAGTTGAATAATATATTTTTAAGGCTATGAATAAATGATAGTATTTTCCGATTATTGATTATCATGCCCTACTTGTTAATGGGCTTCGTTTATTGATATATTAAGCTGTTTCTGAATAGCAATATTATATTTTTCAAGATGCATCTAAAATGATACAATTATATATATCTAAAACTATTCAACAATCAAATCCAACATAATATATTATTCTTAAACCTTAAAGATTTCGTTGCTAATTTCAAACTTCGAATTACCTATTGATGAATTTGCTCCAACTGCTTGCTTTAATTCAAAATAAATATTACTCTACAGAATTATCTTTTAAGTCTGTAAAAATAGTAAAATTTATATAATAAATAATTATCATAATATAATTTTTTTTATGAACTTGTAAACTAAAAGATAAGACATAAATCAATTAAAGGTTTACAAATGGGATTCAATTGAAAGAAAACTCATGAAGATTAATATTCAAGTAGATATAAAGAATGATAATTTAATTTACTCATATTAAGGAAGAATTTTGAGAAAGTAAAATTGAAATTTATTAATTTTATAGAGTATATCTTCAGGACTATAAAACTTATCCTGATCTATATTAAAATATGGAATAGATTAAATATTTTAATTGGTAAGGTGAATATGGACCAAACTAGAAAAAAATAGGTAAATGGAAGGCGATTTGGAATGGAGAAGTCATTTTAGATGGTGGGTACTACATGAATGGATGTAAGTAAGGCTTATGGAAACAGCCTATAAAGAATTACATGAGGTAAAAATCAAATTATAATTCAAAAATAGTATAGCTCAAGTGTATGAAATTGGGGAATACTTTGATGATTAAAAAACAGGAACATGGAAATATATTTATAATAATGAAACCATGTATCATTTTGTATTACATTTTTTAGTGGTGGTGGAGCATTTAATGAGTAAGCCTAGAAGAATTTGAGGTGGGTTGAGTTGAGTGATGGATTTTGGGATGGATCCTAAATCACTTTTAATGGAGAATATAAAAATGGCAAAAAAATTGGTAGATGGGATATTGAGTATAGGTATGATAGTAATAATTAATTCATTTTAATGTAAAAATTTTATATACAGTAGCTGCACAGTGGAGGTGGATCATATGATCAATATGGTGATGAACTTAAGTAAGGAAATTGGGTAGAAATAACTGAAAATCAAGGGGATTATTCTTATGTTAATTGCAGAGGTGGATATTAAAATGGTAAGAAGATTGGTAGATGGGATATTTTTTGGAATAATAATGGAAATCAAAAAATAATGTAAGAAATATTATATATAAATTTGGACCATCACACAGTGGCGGAGGATCATATGATGAAGAAGGGGATGAACTTAAGTTGGGTTATTGGGTGGAAATAATGGATAATTTTGAGTATAACTCTTAAGTAACATACAAGGGAGAATATGTAAGTGGTAAAAAAGTTGGTAGATGGGATATATGGTTAAAGCATTTATCAACTAATAATTACAATGAAAAAATGTAAAAATAAAGTTATATAGTTTTAATATTTTGAAAAATGGTTGGTTATTAGTGGTGGTGGATTCTATGATGAAGCTGGTAATGGATTTAAGTAGGGTGGTTGGGTAGAAATTTTGGAAATTTCTGATGATTCTTTAGTAAATTATAGTGGTGAATATAAAAATGGTAAGAAAGTAGGTGTTTGGGATATTAAATATAGATATAGGAGAGGTGATCCCTATTATAAAATGTAAGAATATTTTATAAATTCGTACTCCACAGTGGTGGTGGATCATATGATGAAAAAGGGAATGAACTTAAGTATGGTGATTGGGTAGAAATTTCAGATAATTATTATGATTCTTAAGTAATGTAGAGAGGAGAGTATATAAACGGAAAAAAGGTTGGTAGATGGGATTTTATGTATGAAGGCAATCAAATGTAAAAATAAAATAAAAAATGTTTAATTATGTCAACTTATAGTGGTGGGGGATTATATGAAGAAGAAAATGATAGCATTAAGATTGGATAATGGATTGAATTAGACGAGGAATTTTTTGGTTGCAAGTAAGTTACCTACCATGGTGAATATAAAAATGATAGAAAAGCTGGAAGGTGGGATATTGTTGCTTGGGGATAGTTAATGTAATTCATATTATGTTAAGGCCTTAATTATTAACACTATTAGTGGTGGAGGATTATATGATGAAGAAAATGATAGCATTAAGATTGGGTAATGGATAGAATTGGACGAGGGGTTTAGCGGGAATAATTAAATTACCCATCATGGTTAATATAAAAATGGAAGAAAAGTGGGAAGATGGGATATTTTTATTAGGGAATAATTAATGTAAATAATATTATCTTAATTACTTAATTTATTTCAACTTTTAGAGGTGGTGGATCATATGATAAAGAAGGTGATGGAATTAAGTTGGGTAATTGGATAGAAATAATGGATGGATTTTAGCATTCCTCATTAGTAACGTATAATGGTGAATATAAAAATGGTAAAAAAGTTGGAACATGGGTGGAAATGAAAAGAGAACTTGATAAAATGTAATAAGGATTTGTGCAAATACATGAAATTAAATATGATAATTGAAATAAAATTAATAAACAATAGTATTGTTAAAAATATGCTTTATATCTTAATTTTTTTTTGTTTTGGAAATAATGATTAATTAGTTGATGAGTAGTTATTTTTTAGATTTAATTTGTTTCATTTCAAAACGTTTTTTTGTCTATTGCATTTATTTTTGGTTATTTTATTCCTTAATTGCTTTTATCAATGTAATATATTCAAAAACCCATGTTAATATAATGAAAAATAATCTTGGAAATAAAAATGGTATCTTTTTATTTGCTTATGGTTTCATAATTTTAGGATTAATTTCAAAATTGAGAAGATTTTTGAAATTATCTGAGGTATCTACTTAAATTATTTTTTTGAAATAAAATGAGGATTATCTTTGATAAACTAAAATTTTCAATATATTTAATTAAATTATCATATGATTCATTTATTTGTTTATTGAGATTTAATAATTTTATAATTGATAAGATTTGTAGACTGTTGGACATCCTATGAATGTTTACATATTAATTTTTATAATATTTCTAATCCTTTTATAAAAATCATACTCAGCATCTGCTTGAATCATAAAATTATAATTATAATATTTGATAACTTTATACTTTTGAACATAATTGTTTTTATTGTTTCATCCTTTAAAAAGAAAAATTAATTTATTTTGAATATTTTATCATCCATTTTAAAGAACGAGATTTTATATAAAATAAATTATCTGAAATAAATTGATTAATTCTTATTATCTAATTTCAAAGGCCTTAATCATTGATTTTATTTCAAATTAATTCATTAATCAATATCAGAACTTAGGGCTTGTTAAAATTAGCTTCTATAAAGTCAGATCCTAAAGTATTAATCTTTGCCTAATGTTTATATTAATTCTTTAGTATTTCCTAGGTTATTTATTAATTTAAATACAAATAAATTGTTAATTATTATTTATTTTACAGAATATTCCTTACTTCACTTAAAAATTCTGTCATATTAATTTTTCATAATATTATCAACCATTTTGTTTTAAAGGCAATTGCAGGTTATTTTTCATAAAATTTACTAGAATATCTATCTTGTTTCGAATTATGATCTTCCATAAACATCACTTTTTTTAATATCTTTTTAAAAAGCAGAAGCAGCTGTCATTAATTAAATATGATAAAGCCAATTTCCTATTATACTAGAATATATATATTTACTATTAATTCAAATAAGTCATTTAATTTAATATCTTTAGATCTGTCTATCTATATTTTAATTTTTTTCTAATTTTAATTAAGGATTACCTCACAAACAATAAGACATTCTTATTTCTGATTTAAAGCAATAAGTAAAGTTTTATCTCTAAACTTCAATAGATTTTTTTCTATAAATGTAAATTTTAATAATATCATAAGGTTTTAA